GTTGGAATACTTGAGAACTCAAGTATTTCCTATCAAATTGGATCCAGAGCATCGTTTCTTGGGACCTTAGGCGGCTGAAAATTGCTGATTTTTAGCGAGCTTTCGGGGCTCCAGAAGTTGGAAATTGTGTGAGATCTGTGGGAAGAAAGATGGCTGGAAGAAGTGGAAGTCTTGGAAGGCGAGTTCGGACAACTAAAGATAGATCTGGATGGGAAAGTTCTTGAAATTCTCCACCAACAATGACATGTTGGAGGGTATTGGTTCACGGTGATGGAAGAAATGATGAAGAACTACTTAAGAAATTGAAGACTCATCCGGCGGCATCGGAATAAAAGAGACCACCGACGGGCCATGAACGTAGGAGGAAATCCAAACCCGGTCGCGGGAGGAGGAATCCGGAGGTGGAGATCCTTTAGGGGGAAGACGATATGCCTCCTCTAGACGGCTTTCTAGAGAGAGAATGAATCTGGGGTACGATCTGAAGAGGTGCTGATTTTGGGGTTAGAAGGAGGACATTCCAGCGTCGAGGTGCTGAATTTCAGTGTCGAGGTGCGGAATTTGAAGGAAGGAGAGGGAATACGACGAAAGCTGGCAAATTTGTTGCAGAAGTAAGAAAGAATTTCAGCATCGAGGTGCTGAATTTTCAGCGTCAAGGTGCTGATTTTGAAAGGGGAGGGGAATAATGGGAAGGGTTGGGTAATCGTCATCGGGACACTTGGGGAGCACTTCCGCCCTAGGAATGGGAAGATCTTGGAGGATACCGATGGTTACGGAGGAGATCCCAAGGTGAGGAAACTGAAGATTGCCATCTTTAGAGGGCGAGGAATGGTCATGGGCTGGATTCTACAGGAGTGGAACGGTATTTTGCAGGTCAACGAGCTGTGGTTGACGGAGGAGGAGAAACTGACAGCGACAGACTAATGGGTTTGGAAGGGAAGGCATGGCATAGGTACCAGTGGCGGGACATGAAGCAACCTCATTCGAAGCTGGATGGGAGTTCAAAGATTGTCTGCTAGAGCGTTTTCCGAACCAAGAGGGGAAGGAAGACTTTTACGAACAGTTCTTTGGCGCATGACAACAGAAAGGGACAAGGTAGCAGAGTTCGCGGGATCGGTTTAGTACCTAGCTGCAGGTTGGATCGTCTCTTTCTGAGACCGTGCTTGATGGGGACTTCTATGAAGGGGCTCAAATTCAGAAATCAGGCAGCCTGTTAGAGTGATGAGACCCACACGACTGGGGGAGCCATGGAGTTGGCAAAGTTGTCGATCGAGGACCAAGAGCATCTGGATGAGGGGGGCTCGTGGAAGCAGCCCTCGTGGGGATCCTACAGAATACGGACCACTTCATTAAGCTCCAAGGAGGGAGCTGCACCGGCGGGGTACACGAGAAGTACCAAAGGAGGAGGTCCCTCAGGAGTAAGGATCAGGGAGCCTGGGGGAAATTTAAAAAGCTTACTGATCAAAGGAATGCAGAGAGGAAGAGGGCTTAAGCAGATTGTGCTTTAGATGTGATGAGAAGTATCATGCCGGACATAGGTGCAGAGGAACCGGACTCTTCAGGTTCTCTTTATTGCGAATGATGAGGAAGACGAAGAGGAAGGTGGGACGCAGGTCAGAAGTGGGAGGAGGAGGAGAAGCTTTGCCAACCGTGGATGTTGGAAGAAGTCTCTCTGAACTTTGTAGTGGGATTCACTTCGAGTCCACTATAGAAAGTAAAAGGGGTGATTAGCTGACCACAGGTGGGGTTTCTGATAGATAGTGGGCAACCCAGCAATCTTCATTTCCCACTCGGCTTGTTAGTTTGCTTGGTATGGCTTAGTGGATACCGGTGAGGCTATTGGGGTATGATTGGGCACAGGGAAGGTGGAAATGGGGGAGGAGGAGTTTGTAAGAGGAGTGGTGCCTGACGCATTCAGAATACAGGTGAGGAGGATTTTCTGTCGCCAAACCAGTAAAAATACAGCAGCCAACTGCTGTCCACAGCAGCAAAACAGCAGGAATTCAGTGAAAGCGCAGCAGGAAATAGGGAAAAAAGCAGAAAAACACAAGATCTTGCTTGTATTTCACTAGAAAACCAAGAAAACAACAAAGATACAATTTGTTCTTCAATCCGAGAGGAAGAACAACTCTCCAACGATCTCCGGCGAAGCCAAGAGTCCAAGCACACAAACCCTAGATCTCAAATAGAATTCAAATTCAAGATGAGCCCCTCTCCCTCCTAATCCTCCTAATTAACAATAAAGGATTCCTACAAAATACCTAAACAGCCCTTTGCAATCAAAAATTTCCCTCCCACATAATCAAATCATCCCCAAGTGGGGCCCACCTTATCCGCCCCCCTCCTCTTCCTGTTTCCGCCTCCGCCTGGTATAGACCCGGGTTGGACCGGGTCCAACCGGCCCCTCCTAGGCCGGTTCAAGCATAACATTTTATTTGAGTTTTTCTAAGCAAACTAAGCATAGACTTATGCAGATATAAGTTGAATAGACAAGTAAGTACAACTTATGAGAGTAGAGAAAAAAAAAACTCAAACATATCATTTTTCAGATGGTAATGACAAAGCAGGAAGTAGTCGAAGTACCACATCTGTACTAAAGCATTGTATACTGATGATCAAATATTACTTGACGGTCGTAGAGCAACATGATTTATCTTGTACTTACATGTCTAGGCTCCTTGTGAATAACTCTAATTTCCTTGAAGCCAATAAAAGGTCGGAACAAATCTTTGAAAAAGATAAGGAATTAACTAATACATAATTCCCAGTAACATTGAAGTGACGTAGATTTAACAGTGTCAAAGGAAGAAAAAAAAAAAAGATGACAAGCAAGGATACGAGCTACTTCTCTTCTCGTGCAGTCTCTGGGCAAACCATCAATAAATAGGACATTAGATTCATCCACCAAGAGGCCATCAGATTTTCTAAATGGTTCAGACCGCTCAATATCTGTGAGACCAGGCTTGATTCCTAACGCAGCATCCCTTCTAAGTAAAGCTGGATCATCTAATGGATCATATCCTCTTGCAATAGCCCCAGCAGGCAATCCAACGTACCCGGGCACACCTTTACTGACAACTCCTGCATGACCATCTAAAGTGTAACCTGCAAGTCTTGGTTGCAGTAGCTGGGCATGGCCAGTACAAGCGTTAGTATCTGTAGTTTTATTGAATAAATAGGTTTTAGCTGTGGCTGAGTAAACTCATACATCATTTCGAAGAAATTCGGAAGAAGTTGTTCGAGAATTTTCAGCACCCCATAAGCTGCGAGATGCTAATGCAGAACCCTCGCGAGGTAAATAACCAGGAACAGAAGATCCAGGGTCTTTTAAGAAGAAAGTAAATCATCAGTCAGTCAAGCGAAGAAACCAAACCCTGGCACATCACAATTTGACTTTTAGGATATTTTTGGGAAATTTTTTTCACTGCTTTGCTTTTCAAATAACTTTCACACTACTATTAGGCTACTGTTTTCTTACTGCTTATAAAAAAATTTTATGATGTGCAGATGGTTTTTATAATCAAAATTACTAGCGAGGTAGTTTTATGAGAGTTATTATCCAAAATTTTTAAGAACAAATATTTATAATATGCACAACAACTTTCAAAAAAATTATTTTATCCACAACATCTCTACAATTATCTTTACAAAAAATTATAGTCACCCAAAATGGATTGTAAACATCTGCTATGGGCAAAGAAACTTTTTTAAAAGTTGTTGTTTGAATTATAAATATTTTATTTTGTAAAATTAGACAACAACTTTCTTCCAGCTATTAGACTCTAACAGAATTAATTTTGAGAAAAAATAACTTCCCACCACAAAAATATCTGAAAAGAGGTAAGAAATCTGTATCTAAATGGCTATGCAACAACGATATAAAAAGAAAAGAAATAAAAAGGCTGACTCAAATAAACCCTTAGTCTAGGTAAATAGGATGAATTTTCATATACGTAGAATAGTAGAAATGAGGAAAATTCTGATAGAACAGTCAATGTTGGGTCAGTCCCTCTTGGACCGACCAAATGTTACAGGTAAAGTGGAACAACAAGTAAAGTGGAAGTGAGCCAGAACAGGCAGCCACTTAAAAGAAATCCTGCCTCTTGGGGTGGAGCCCGGGAGGATTTTCGAATGAGGAGGGGGCAGTTAGGAGGGAAAAGGAAAAGGGGGAGGGTTGTTTTGGCATTAACTATATTTTGTATGTTTTAATTATGTTTTTTGTGCTAGGGTCCAGTTTTTATGTGTTGAATTTGCTGAAATTAGAAGTTCTTAGGTTGAAAGGGTTCTAGCTGGCGGCTAAGGATTTGAGAGACCTGGATCTTCCTCTCCAATTGAAGATCTATTGTATCTTGTTTGTTTCCTTCCATATATCATCAATTTAAAAAGTTCACTTTCATTATTCCTCATAGTTCTTCTTGTTGTTTGCTTTTTTGGGATTGTTGAAATTAAAATTCAGCCAAGGGTTCATTTGTCCTTACATACACTTCCTATCAAATTCCAAACGGGTTAGACAAATGTCAGTGCATGAACAGCAAAGAAAAGTTAATCAGTCTCAAATCTTATGACAGTAAATGCAAGCAACATTTAATGAAAACTAAAAACGAGAATGTGCGTGTATATATATAATTCTCATTTAACAGATTTAAAAATAAAATGGGTTTAGTGTCAACAAGCAGCACAGGCAATCCAATAATTTATTCAAAAACATAATATGTCTTGTAGTCATTCACATGGAAAAGTTATAACAAACATTAATAGCTTATTCTCTTTTGATGGATTTAAGAAAAGCAATCAAGAATCCAAACTTCTTTAGCCAAGCAAAATTTATAAGGAAAACATAATGATCAGAGCCTATATTGTACATGAATACTGATAAGAGAAGTAATGATTTTCTCTGAGTTATTTCATTCATCCAAGCCAATGTGATTTTTCTAGCAGTAGAGGTAAAGAAAGTAGAGGTAAAGAAGGTCGTGTAAAACTAGGAAAGTCATAAATAAAATACAACCAAACATGTTTTCTACACTTCACCTCCTGGTAGAGAATAGGTATTTATCACTCCCAACATATCAACAAGCGGTTCAAAGCATGATCCAAAAAGCCCTTTCGTCAGAATGTTTGTCCCTTGTTGTGTTGTAACAACAGAAGTCATATAGATGCCCCCTTCCTCAATCTCTTGATAAAGACCACATTCTCTTCAGCATGTTTTGCTTGATCACGACAGATAAAATTGTATGCAAATTTAATTGCTACTTCGATGCCACGTAACTTCATTGGATACATATTTTGAGCTTTTAGTTATTCCAGTATCCTTTTCTATCAAATTAACTCACAAGTTCCTTGACCAAGTGCTCTAAACTCCTATAAAACTACAGACAACAAATTGCTTCTTGCTTCCCTGAGTGACAAGAATTACAAATCCTATATAGTATAGTAACCCAATGTGACTATCCTATCATCATTAAGTACTACCTAATCAACATAAATGAATGCCTCAATACTCTTTGTTCATTCTTCCTCAAGCAAAAACTTTTGAAAATAGTAGATTTTATATATCTCGATATCCTATAAACAGCTTTCAAATGCTCTTTAGATGGATGATGCATGTATTAGCATACTACACTGACAACAAAAGCAATACAAAATTTTTTTTGAGATAATTATACCAATTTATCAACCAACCTCTGGTATCTCCACATTTCTACTGAAGTAACTTCTTCCATTCTCCTAAAGTTGAGAGTTGTTTGGGTACAAACAAGATTTAACTCAAGTAAGATTTGGTAAATCCTGTAAATCCGATTGTTGTAAATCTTAAAAATCATACCCCTTTCACTCCTACCCAAATTCTTGAAACCCTCCACAACAAATAAGGAAATCACAATGGGAGTTGGCTAAGGGAAGGCATCAACGAAATCAATGACGTGTGAAGGACTGTAATCTTAGAAAAATACGCTGCAGATTTAAGTTAAATATGAAAATATCCTGCATTTAGTTAATCAGTGATTTACAATAAATCAGGAGGAAATGAGATTTAATATTCTGTAGATTTAGGTCCTTCATTTTCAATGTATGGTAAGATTTGCATAAATCTTGCTTAAATCCTGCATAAAACTTGCTACAAAACAACCCCTTAATGCTTACTCAATAGGTGTTTTAACAAGCAAGCTTGTCTCTATCAATAGATCCAATGTGTATTTCTATTATGACTTACGAGACAAGCATACCCTTCTTACTTCTAGCTATTTCAATCACAAGGGAAAACTTAAATTATCCCATATCCTTGATTTCAAATTCACATATAAATATTTTTTAATCTATCTATTATATGTCATAATTAGATTGGTAATGTAATAATTAGATTCATCTCCTTCAAATTTATTGCCATTTTCTTGTGGGATTACCATCGAATTCAACTCTTAGTTATGCTTATTATGCATAACCGCCTGTACTTGTAGAGTTTTTTTTTTTTTTTTTTTCCTTTCTTTCTTTAGAATAAACTTGCAACTATTTTCTTTATTTGTGTAATCCTAACCTCAGTTCGTATCTTTTTTTTAGTTCATGGAGCGTGTCTAGACAAGGATCTAGGGGGAGTGGTCCAAAGATGGAGGATTTAGGATGAGGCAAAAAGAGAGAAACATATAAGAGATAGAAGAACTATAATGTCTCCCTTTACATGGAGTCTCCCATGAAGGATTCGGGGATCTATAATGGTCAATGTTCTAAGAATATGACATCAAAGAGAGTAGCCAAAAAAGATGTATTTTCTTGCTTTGAGATTCAATTTTCCCTTATCTAGATTAATATTATGTAGCCAATATAAGCAACGAAAGACTTGTAATGATAGATAAGAGAACAAGCATGTTTGTGTATAGATCTAGAGTAACAAAATTAAAGAGTTTTAATTTTGAGTATATAAGAAGCCTCCCGATCAGACAAAAATCAATTAAAATTGTCTCCCCCTAAAAGAGTTGTGAAATAAATGTAACAAGCATATGTACTCTAAGAGTGGTGATTTTTTTCGTTCAAGGACCTTAATTTGCAAGAGCACCTGCACACAAATTTTAATGAACTCTATCATCATTTTAAAGAACAATTCCAGGAATTGTCTTCGACTATTCTTAACCATTATCACTACAAATGATTTTTATAGGGGCTTTAAATTAGGATTTGGATAAGTTTGTGAAAATATTAGAATATCAATATAATATCAAAATTTTATTTAAAAAATAAAATATGTAAGTTCTTATATAATCATCAATAAATCTTATAAACCAATGAGTTCCAAGAATGTTTGGTACATTTGAGAGGCCTAGGCATCACTATAAATAAAAGAAAATGGGTGAGAAAGATTATATAGAACACATGGAAATGAAGCACAAGTATATTTGACAAAAATATAATTTTCACAAGAAAAAGAATTGACACCTTTAATCATAAGATCATAAGCAAACTTCTGATATAATAAAAAATAAGATTTCATTGTCATTCATGCCATAATAAGATATCCTGGGAATAGTCACAGCGTTGTCATCCAAAGCTTGAGATCGTTTAATATCATTAAAATAGTATATGGTATTACACATTATATCACTACCAATCATCATCCTTGATGATGAATCATAAAATTCATGAGAAGAAGAAGATAATTCAATATAAATCATATATTTGGTAAATTGACTAATAGAAATAAGATTGGACTGAAATTTGCGACAGCAAGATGATAGAGAGAATCAAATTGGCCATCCAAATGTACCAACAACAACAACATCAAGCCTTTATCCTACTACGTGAGGTCGGCTACATAAATCTTTTTTCTCCATTGTGTCTTATTAAGAGTCAAATTCTCATTTAAATCTAATAAAAAATGTCATTTTTATATTTTCTAACCATGTCTTTTTATGTCTACCTCTACCTCTCTTAACATAGGTCAAATATAATACATTTACTCTCCTAATTGGGTCATTAGAAGGTCAATGTTTTATTTGACCAAACCATCTAAGGCGACTCTCTAATCTTATATGCCACTGGAGCTACTCCAATCTTTTAACATATAAGCTTTTTTCCATTCTATCTCTAAGAGTAAAGTCACTCATCCACCTGAGCATCCTCATCTCTGCAACTCTTAATTGCATGCTTCTCTCTTAATGGCCAACATTCTATGCATATAAAGCATTGCAGGTCTCACCACCATCTTATAGAATTTTCCCTTAAGTTTGAGGGATACTTTTCTATCATACAAAAGGACTGATGCATTCCTCCACTTCAACCATCCAACTTAAATTCTACTAATAAGATACTCATCTATTTCACCATCACTCTGGACAATA